TTCTCAACAAGCTAACTAGTCGGTACGAATGGACATAGCCCTTCCATTTTAATAAACTATGGGGAGAAACTATGGTGTCGGTTTTGTTTACTTGGACAGATCGATTTCAGTTAGATTTCGATTTTTTCTTTTGCACTTGACAAAACCATTCCATCGATTTCAAAAATATGCCACTAACAGGGTGGTCCATACCTGAATGTGATCTTTTAAACGTGTGATTCTATGAACTTGATAGGATCATCTCACTAGTTTCTAGGACGGTTGGTTCAGATATTGATATGGTAAGTTTCTAATGAGAGAATCATCAAAGTAAGCGCAAGAACAGCTCAGATGTGCAACAAAATTATGCGCCACCAACAATATAAGTGATTTCAAAGCCTATTTGTTATACAGCAACAACAACAAAATTTGAAACCACAATAATAACAAAATTTGAAGCAACAACATTTGGAATAACAGCTCAATCAAACAAACAAACAAAATATATTTACGGTAAATTTACAAGGTCTAGCAACGAAAGATTTTTGTTTATTGAAACCTCTGTTTCTGCTTCAACTTAATTGTATTTCAAGGTAATATCCGTTATGATATTTATATATTGGATACATCTTTTCATTAAATATCCGTCCTTTGCACATTCTTTTAGCAGATTCTTGAAGCACTGCTTTCCCATGACAGTGTATGCTGTTTTTAATAGATTAATATAAATTTGTGTTTATTCATAAATTTATATGGATCAATCACTTTTAGCTATTTCGAAGTTTGAATGATTCTTTTTTTATCACATCGTTTAATGTAGCAAGTTATGTTGATATATATTACAATAAGATTGATTTGTTTTTGGATATTTACTGCTTAATGTAAAAGTATATTTTCATCAGAGCCTTCATAATTATATCCCCCAAAGCTGATGAGTCTAATGAGAAACCTTTTTTATTTTTCGTTTGACCTCATCGTTTTTCTGTCTTTTATCTACCTATCTATTATATTTACAGTTCTGTCTTTCGCTAAATTATTTGACTATTGTCTTCATTCAGATGTCTTAGAACGATTTTTTGTGTTATTTTAGATATGCAGATTTTGAACTTAAACTTGTAAACCTCTCTTCGGAAATACTCGACCTGGTATTTTGAGCAATCATAATTTCAGGTATTTAGTTACGATTTTTACTGGAATTTTCTGTCAAAACTTCATCATATTTCTTATGCATTATTTAAAACACTATTCCATGATTAAGTTCCACATGCTAACATTCGGTACATGTCCTTCATAGACTTTAAAAAGTAAAGTGACAAAGTCATCATTTATTTACACTCTCTGCAAAATCTGTACTCAGTGAAGAATGATATAATTTCCTTTTTCGAATTATCTGGACTAATGTTTTAAAGGATAACTGAAAATCTGGTTATAAATAAGCAATTATGGAAATAATTAATCTATGAAAGCAGGTTTCTCGGTACTGCTTGGAGAGGCCAATAGCAAAGATCGCAATTCAAGCAAGCATCAATGTTAATTAATTTTCTTTTTATAAAACATTTTGCGGATGCTTGCATTTGATGTATTTGTCGAAAATTTACCGCTTTATTCTTTTTCTTCCATTTTGCTTTATTTTTTTTAATCGTGAAAAGAAATGAGGAGAAATAAAACTGGATAAACTGCGTTATACATCTCTACCGCTTTGATTTCCTCATATTCATACCTTTGACGTTTAAGGCAAACACAAATCTTAAGGCTTCCTTGAACCATTTTAGATGCCGTTCTTTCCCATTAGAAACCATCAAAATTAAATCGTTGGTCCCGAAATTTATCCTTAATATGTTTTTTTAACGCAGGTTACCTGCCAACTATATTTTTAACCCAAACAAAACTCACATTAAAGAGAAAAATGAGTGTACAACTAAGCGCACCAAGCTCATTTTGTCCCTTCTGAATTTAATCTACATGTGATTCAAAATTGGCTTACCACTGGCTGATTCGTGGCACTGAATTTCGAAAAGTTTGCACAAGTGTATAAATCTCTGTTTCAATATGTATCGCTAACTAATTACGATGATAGTTTTTTCTTCGGGGAATATTCTGGTCATTGATGTTTGTGGAGGGTTGAATGGTGAAATTAATCTCTGAAATCGGCAGTAATGGTGGCGGTGACAATCAAAATGATTTGACCGGGAACCGACCGCTGACGGTTCATCCACTTCGTTGACCCAGCCGTTGGTTATCACTACGCCCTTCTCTGCCCGTTTTTGTGAAAGAGACTGCCTAAATCATAAGAGCTGTTAGGCGAAGAAGAATTGAATCGAGTCGAATCGAATTGAATCCACCAACAACAAGTCGCATCAATTAGGGCATTCCGTCTTCGTTTCACTCCGATATCAAGCACCCTTGTGCAGTTAACCGATTGCAACAACCTGATTTGCGATCGAAGCACAGTTGCCTTTATCATTTTATGATTCATTTTCTGGCTTTCTTTTATCTTCTCCATTATAATCATTATTCCCCGTCCTCGTTCCAATGATCATAACATATACCGGGCAATCGTCTCCATTGCGATCAGCCATATGATTATTTGTATAGGATTTTCGATGCTTAACCTCTATTGATTTTTGGTTGAAAGTGAAGGTTTTCTGCGATTTAGGAATTTACGCAATAATAACTTCTATGCGTAACTTTTGCCTCTTCATTACAAGCAAATAGTCCCATTATCCCGAAATTCAACCAATAAAAGAGGCGGTAGAATTGAGAGAACTCTCGACAATTCTTCAGTACTGTTAAAGTCTACCTACTTGAAAGAGAATTGAGAATTGAAATTTCGAGTGGTGCTTTTAGCTCACTATTCATATCATCCTAATTGCATTTTACAGTATTAAACAGTAGGTATGCCTACCACTTATCTTTTGCTGTCCATTTTTTAGTCCTAATATTTGTCACAGCTCTGATGATTATTTTTCTGCTACAATTCCTTCTTCAACTCGTCAATAAAAGGTAAACTCAAGCCTTAAACGTATGTGGATCTATCCAATCCGATGACATAAATTTGTTTAGCTATGGTATCAGCTAATGTTTATATTAAATATAAAACAATAACATGAGTGTCATATTAACTGACAGGCAAAACTTTTTTGTCTTATTTTAGAAATCGAGTGCCTTAAACTTTTCAGACAACTGATCAAGATTATGAAAACACTCAGAAAACAATATATTATCCAATTTATCTTTCTTGAGAAATATTATATGTGTTTTTTTCTCAACTCACCCCCGTTACAAATGCACGTTCAGCTCCTCTCTCTGTACTTGTCCTGATTTAATTGAAAATTGGCCGAAGAAAGCTAGATACTAGAAATTTTAAGGATAAGTAATTTCTCAAGCGTAATCGGGGAAGTAATGAGCCCATGATTTGTAGCTTTTCAAAGAAATGATGTTGCTGGTTGTGTTCGATTTTCCCGCTCCTCTCATTGCTATTTACATATCTAGCTGCCTCTCTATCACTTTTTCTCTCATTATCTCATTAATCTAGGAATTCAAAACTTTGTATGGTAACCCTTCCGTCCTCAGAAAATAGTAGTATCTCAGTGATTTATTACTTTTATGAAAGGGAAGACTGTCTAGCAAACAAAACGTATTTTGTTCAGTTCAGGTGGTTTGCGGTTCATGTGAAGGTATTATTAGTATGATACGGTTCGCTATCAAAGCTACCAACAACAGTAAGGCTACCAACATTACAATAGGATTTTTCTGCAAAAGTTTTGCACAGGTCAGCAACACATGTAATACGGCTTAAAGTTATATTAAAAATTCATAATATTTCTTCCAGTAATCAGTACAACTAATTTATGTCATTGATTTATTTGCTAAAACATATTATGGTAAGCATTATATATTTTATTTGTCAGCTGTACTTACCGTCTCATTTCTTGAAAATGAAGAAAATGTTACCATGTAGCAGAAAATACTAAATAATAGCAACCAGTTGAGGAAACAACCTTTTTCTATTATAGAAATCTCAAGTTGCAACAAAGTGACTTTGTCCCTTGCGCTCTTCTTTTTCTCCTTCATCACAAAACTGTGTTTTAGTGAGCAAATCTGATATTCTTTTTGCTTCAAAAAATAAGCAAGGTTAAATTGGCAAAGTTTAATCTTGCAAACTTCCCATCGTAACTTCGGTATTCTTACTTCTCATTGATACTATAGCTTTTAATGACATAGTGGGTGGCAGTTCCACTTCATTTCTTATTAAAGTAGATGATTTGTTCAGCTAAATAAGCATTTTTGAAAAAATATCAAATATTTGGAAAAAATGCATAGTGTATAATTGCAGCTGCACTATTAAATGCATGATTATATCTGATAGGCTTCTCGAGCGATCGCAAGAAAACAAGTTCAATTGCTCAGTGATGTGACCACACATCATTATATTTGATCAAATCATCCACGTCAGATAATGAACCGTTAATCCAGTCTCATCCACCTATAATCGCCAAACTTCACCCATATATTATGATTTGTCGTTCAGTGGCCGCGTTAAATAAAAATGCCAGATTCAGTATTGGTGGTGTCATCGTGTGAACGTGTTGTACTACAAGTGGAAGAATGATTTAGGGTATTTCGGTGTGGGCAGTTCGGTGTGTTGTTATCGTTATCGTTATTAATATTGGTAGCTCACATGAAGAAGTTAAAAAGACGCATCAGCGCTGCATTCCGTGGAAGCGATATGTCTTCAACTTTGCCAGTCAGGTAAACGTTACACATTGGTTCTTTTCGAACTTCGGAAGTAGTCTTTCTGAAATTCATAAAGTTAGGATTGGTAGTCTCATAACAATGATTTTATTTGCTTCTGTTGTCCACATCCTTATCTTTGGTAAGTTTTTGAAACTAAAGTTATGGGACGGGAATGTCATTTCGATTCTTTGAAAGGAGGAAATCCGGAATTAGGGGTTTCTTTGAAAATGAGAATTCCCATATATTGCAGAGAAGTCTTAATGGTGTCGTTGCTGATTTGATGCATGTTCATAAGTTCCAGAAACTGGCGCTTATCGGACTCGATGAGTGAGCTGGCAGAACGTTTAGCCGCAGACGGAGTAATTATTGAAGAATGCGATATCCCGTCACCCAAAGTTCCATTTCCTGTTTTTTATATGAAACACAATCGTTTACCTGTGCCAGTGTCACGACATTTTCGCCCAGATTATCCCAAGAATCGGAAAGCATATTCGCCAACCCAACATCAGTATTCTCTTTTCCCCAGAAAACCTTGTAAGTATGAGTCAAAGACAGTATGATTTCCATGCCTTTAAAAATGGAATTTCGTTTAGTTTTTAGAATTTTCCTATGCGAACTTTCAGGTGCACATACTTCATTGGTTATTTATGTTCATAAATTCAGCTTTTGAAAAATAATCATGCTGCAGTCGAAAATTTATTACTTGGAGAGCACATTTTGTAGATCGGTACTTTAGTACTGTTATTACAGAAATTCTCTTATGGTATGGTCCTGGATCAAAGATCTATTCTTTTATTATTATTATTATGATTAAATATTTGATGGAAATCGGCGCCTTGCCACAATTTTGCAGTGCTAGTGGTTGAACTACCTATGTTTAGTCTATTACTAGTGGTTACATATCTAACCATAATAAAAAGAGGCATTGTAGGACATTTTTAATGAAAACTTTCAAATTATTCATACAGGAATATTGTGCGTTTCTGCAGTTTCGTTGACATTAGTGTCAAGCTGTCTTTGTAGGGGTCAGTTCTATGCGTGTAAATGTGTAACACTTCTTCCTTCTTCCTTCCACTTAACTTTACCCAATCAAAAGTTTTCCCTTCTTGAAAATACAATTTCACTTCTGTTGGATAACCTTTCGTATGAGGACCAGTTTCGGAAAACTGCAGTCCAATTTGGTGCTGCAAACGACAAATGTAATTTAAAAACAGATAATGAACAGTACGGTACGTTTTGGCCTGACTCGATAGGAAAGAATTTGAAAAATTGATTTAAACAACGAAGTTTGTGCTATCCAAGATTTGTCTCTTAATTATAATCACAGAGATCTTGTGTCGATATTTCTGAAATAAGCAGTTTGGGAACAGGCAACATAAGATTTATTGGACTACTACAGGAAGTTTTTTGCTGGTAATACGAAATCCGTATTTTATCAAAACTCCGTTGTTATTCTCAAAAATGCGTTATGCAGGATTCGTCTTCTACCTTTTTTAATGAATCTATTTCTACAAAGTAATGAGGTCATTAAATAGTTGTTGGAGGAATGTTCCTGAAAGTTTTTGAATGTTAGTGAAAATTGTTCTTGATAATGAAATCCAACATTGCATCGATTTTTCTTGACCACTATTAATTTTAAGCGATTGTTCAGGTAGTTCATAAACATATCATAGTTAATATAGTTTGCGACGACTGACATACAACAATACAAGGAAAGTCATTTTTTCGAGACTTAATATTTATGCGACGTATAAATAGCAGTTCATGAAAAATTGCGTTACCGCAGTTTCAAACCTTACTTCACAATTTAATATACGGTGACGTTTTTTTCCTCTTAATTTTTCTACCCATGATGGCAACCGATAGTAGTGGTGACCTTTGTTCATGAAAAGCGAAATCTCTATAAGCCGAATATATTGGTTTATAGCAGCATGTATGAGAACTGGTACAATATTCGCGCCAGAAACATTTCAGCAGAATAGAAGTACCGAGTGGAAAAGTGGGGAAGGGAAGGAGCATGCAGAAATGTGAAGAATAGTGACCTCTGTCGTGGTGAGCATCGAGTTTCGAAAATGAGGGACTCATAAAATTCCCACCCATTCGCTACTATTGGTATTTTATCCTTTAAGACCTTTCATTTTATCCTACATGACACGCAAGTAAATTTCTGAAGGATTTTGGACGAATAAGAGTAACAGTTTGTTCAGCAATGATAGTGAAAGTTTATTTAGGCAGTTGAATCTGAAAAAAAGAGACCTTTGCTGGAGCCAGCTTGGACGAATTGATCGGGTTAGAGAGAGTCGTAAACTCCGGAATGTGGCAGATCGATGTCGCTCACACTGTTGTCCACATGTCGTGCTAGGAAATATTGTAAAGTCGACTCGAGATATCTGAGGAAGACAGAGAACGCTTGATTAGCTTCTCTTTGTCACACTCCTCCTCTTCGCGTTGTGTATCTTATGTATGTATATATCACTTGATCCTGTCGCCAGTCTCATTTGCATCCACTCTCAACTTTTTGATTTATTTGTAATGGCGTCTGAATTGTCCAAATCTGCTACATTCCACAACTTTTGTGATGAGGCTGACGTACTTCCACCACTACCATCTCAAACACCAACTCCAAATACTTTTGCATCATGGATTCAATTCTTTCTGTTACGTAAGCGACGTTCCGTTTTAGGACGGCGAATTATTTTAAGGCCTTCTATTTCTCTATGTAAGTGTTTTGCATGTTCACCTGCTCATTATATCTTCGTATGAGAATATCACTCCTGGACGAAAATTTAATATATATTTAACCGGAATCACGGAATCATTTGCTTATGTTGCTTTAAGTAATATAACATTTGTCAGCAAGTGTTCCATAAGGGTATAGGTATGAACGCCGGACGTATCGAAGATGTACTGAGTCAGAAATGGAAAGGTTTGTTATGGAGACAGCTAAAAATAATCTTACAGCAATTATAAATCAGGTGAAATGTTAACTTTCATATATTGATTGGTGATTTAAAGTTGTCAGACGTTGCCGTACGTGCGCAGCGTATGTTAAAATTTTAAGCTATGAGGAATTATGAATTTGGTTATGTTAAAAATTCATTAGGCGCACTCTTGTACCTCTAAATTGCGGATTTTTCCAGCTGTTGTTGATGAAACGAAGACGCTCGGTTCTGATGGTGAAAGCATTGAGGTTTCGCCTTGTAGCAGCGATCAATGTGCAAGTCAATCTGATCGTCATGTTATCAACGTCAAAATGCGACATAAACCAACGCGTCGTTGGAACGAGGTATTTAGATTTCAGGATAAAATTACTGCTGTATCACTATTTGTAACTACTAGAAGGTAATTGTTGGTTCGTTAATATTTATACGACACAACATAAACGAAACTAAAACAAATGTTGGATAAACAGGTGAATATAAAACATAAAAGAAAAGCGATAAGTGGTGGTGAATCAAATACGAGCGGACAAAATGAGAGTTAAAAAATGGTGAAATTGATGGATAAATATCCAGTAGTTACTTCTCGACGCAAATGTAAAGACAAAATTAGTCCCATACGCCCTTTTGTTTGCAATTGGCAAAAAACAATGGGTGAGGGGCTGGGAGGGGTAGGATGGGTTGTCCTTCCTTTCTCAAGCTTTCATCTTTGTTAAATGGATTCAGTTTCGCAATCATACGGCGGATAATTCATCGCTTTATAAAGGAGCTCACTTTCTACACTTGTGGGACTATGGTATTGCCACTCGTCTATAACAGTCTTTGCCATTGCCACTCGTCTATAACAATCTTGACTGAGGATAGTAATCCTTTTTTTTTTGTCATACTGAATAGCTCCAGAAATGAAAGGAAATGTGTTCATATGGTGCAGGTATCCTTATTGTATTAACGTTCTTAGTAATTTTCTATATTTACTGAAGTTAGTTATCAGAGATGACCTTGGCAGCCTTCTGGATTCACAGAAAATTTTATTACAGCAGGATATTCAAAAACGTTTGTCACTTCCTGCTGACCTAAGGCTTCCGTTAAGTGTAATCGAAAAACTGAACCGCACACCAACGTTGGATCAACCTTTAACGAGAAAAAATCGTCGTGCATCTCTGGTACCTTTTTTAAAACTTTTATTTTAAAGAAAAACAATCGAATTTCTATTGTTTTTTGACATGAGAAACAACAGAAACGATCGGAATTTTCGTTTTTTTTTCTTGACGTAATTTTATGTATTTTTCCACTTTAAGTTCATGCTTTTCATCTTGATTTAGAGCGAAATTGGTTTTGGCAAACTTGAAACATATGAAAAACTAGAAAAGCTGGGAGAAGGGACATATGCCACAGTTTATAAAGGACGATCGCGATTGACAGAAAAATTTGTCGCTCTCAAGGTACCGCTTACCAATTAGTTGACTTTAATTAGTTTGCTTTCCACTTTTCAAGCAAGATAGAAACTAAAGTCTTTAAATTTCCTTCCATTTGTCAACAGAAAGAATCATAGGAACCATCTTTGCAGGAAATACGCTTAGAGTTGGAAGAAGGAGCACCTTGTACAGCGATTAGGGAAGTTTCTATATTGAGGGATTTGCGCCATGCGAATATCGTCACACTACATGACATAATTCACACGGAAAGAATACTTACTCTTGTCTTCGAATACGTTGATCGTGATTTAAAACAATATCTTGATGACTGCCAGGATGCTATATCGATACGGAATGTTCGGGTATATTACTGTTTTGCTGCTAGAATTTTTATTTATGTCAAGAAAATTTGTTAATTGAATGATTCGATGTAAACAGAGTTATTTAATGTTTTACAGTATGATATTTCTTGGTTATTTCAATTTCCAGCTGTTTCTGGTGCAACTGTTGAGAGGACTAAATTATTGTCATCAGCGACGAGTTTTACATCGTGATTTAAAACCGCAAAATTTACTTATAAATGAAAAAGGTGAACTAAAACTTGCTGACTTTGGTTTAGCCCGAGCGAAGTCTATACCTACGAAAACATATTCAAATGAGGTACGTTTTTCTAAGTGCTGAGGATATGCAGAAAAATGTGTACCATTGCATTAAGATTCAGCCTTCAACTCACCCCTTTTGATATATGCTATCTTTGAGGCTATTTTGACTTATACTTCAATTCAACGTCTGTTTTCTTTTTTTTTTTT